TACACACCTCCCCCCATTCTTTCCCTCTCTCCTATTCTTCCCCACCAAGTCTCATCTTTCCCAGTTACCCAGTTTCCCAAGAAGCACTAGGACTGTCACTAATTTATGCCCTTGACGAATGCATCTCATAATAAGAAGTGGCAGGCAATTTTAGACATTTCCACACTGTAAATAAAGCATGAGAGAGGGAGACGGATAAAAAGAGGGGGAGAAGGCTGCTGGGAGAACGAGAGAGCCACAGCAGATCAAATGGGACAAATGAATGATGGCAAAATGATGCATGAAATGAGCGGAGCATGGGGTGGGAGCAGAATGGAAGAATTGGACCCTTTGAGGACAGTTACACTGATCATGACACCAGATGATAAGCCCCCTTCACTGTCTTTGACCTTAGTATCCAGTCAACTCACAGATAACAGATAAAGACAGAGATAGGTCAACATCAAGGGCAAAGCCCAGACAATAACAGTGGGGCTGGGAATGCAACATGGGATTTTTGTGCTGTATTCTTTTCACCCATGAAATATTCATCCTGACTTGACATTATGTAAAAGAGAACAGCATGGGTGGGGAGTCCTTCAGTGGCAATATGGAGAATAGTCTTTCTCCAACTACACTTAGGCTAATGCTAGCTACACACATTGCTAATATACTGCAGTGGGAACTTTTTTAAAAAAACAAAAATGACAGCAGAGCAATGGTGGTGTCCTGAGTATCACAATCACACTGATTCACATGTGTGTTTGCATATGTGCCTTTTATTTGAATGAGGCAAGGACATAGATTAAGCCAAGACTGTGTCACCTGCTAATACCTTTCCAACCTTCCAACATTTTTATGCTGCCCTGATCATGAGGTCTCTGTGAAAAAAGATATTTTGCCATCAATGACATTTTTACCTGGTTTGAAGTAGAAGAATAAAATGAAATGACATTTCTTAAATGTCATTTCACAGTGTTAATGCAACTGTAAGGAGGCCAGAGACGTAACCAGGGGGATGGATTCTGGGTCTAACACCCCCCAGGCCCTCATGCACCAATTATTTTAGATATCATCTTATGCAGAGCTTTTAAGGAAGCAGTACAACAAAGCACTAGACAGAAGCAACATGTTATTATTGAATTGAAGTTACAGATAAAATGCCTCTGCCATCCTCTTTGATGGTAATGGTGTAATGAATCCTAGCTGATCTGTGATCAGATTCCCTTCCAAGTTTCAGCACCACAGACTAATTGCAAAGTTTTGTGAAATACAGTTTTACTGCTGTTGTTACTTTTTAAAATAAAAATTCCCTAAATCTCTATATAAAGCTGCAGTGGAAAATACAAACAAAGCATTTGTGTCTTCACATGAATGGGGTCTGGTGGAAAAGCAGTGTGTAAATACTGTAATGTTGCTGGATGTTAAGATGTTATTATTATCCTGTTTATCCTTAAAGCATTATCCAACACTCCCAGTACCCCATAGAGACTGTGTCTGCCCCCCGCCCACCTAAATTATATAAATCAAGAATCAACTCCAGAGGAGTTATTCATAAGAACCTAATTAAAATTAAGATGACTCCTCTTATAGTAGAAAGTAATAGGACAATCAAATGTGGACTACTAAATATCAGATCTCTCTCATCTAAATCTCTGTTAGTCAATGATTTGATAAGTGAACATCACATTGACTTATTGTGTCTTACTGAAACATGGTTACAGCAGGAAGAATATGCCAGCCTAAATGAATCCACTCCACCTAGGCACAGTAACTGTCACATCCCTCAAAACACAGGCCGAGGTGGTGGCGTGGCAGCGATCTTTGACTCAAGCCTATTAATCAACTCTAGACCTAAATATAGTTATAACTCATTTGAAAGTCTCACCCTGAGTCTCTCACACCCAAACTGGAAAACTCAAAAGCCTGTTCTATTTGTTATTGTATACCGTCCACCTGCTCCTTATTCAGAGTTTTTAAGTGAATTCTCAGACTTTCTGTCTGATTTAGTGCTTAGTACAGATAAAATAATCATAGTAGGCGACTTTAATATTCATGTAGATGCCGACAATGACAGCCTCAACAATGCATTCTGTTCATTATTAGACTCAGTTGGCTTCTCTCAAACTAAATAAACCCACTCACTGTTTTAATCACACTCTTGATCTTGTTCTGACATATGGCATCGAAACTGAACACTTAATAGTTTTTCCCCATAACCCTCTTCTGTCTGACCATTTTCTAATAACTTTTGAATTTCCATTAATGGATTATAATGTATGTGGGAAACAATTCCTCTACAGCAGAAGTCTATCTGCAGAATGCTGTTACCAAGTTTAAGGAAATAATTCCATCTTTATCTACTTCAGTGCCGTTTGCCAACACAGTGGAAGGAGGCCACCTTAACCTTACTCCCACACAAATCGATAATCTTGTTGATAGTACTGCAGCCTTCCTGCGTAATACACTTGATACCATTGCCCCTCTGAAAAAGAAGGTAGTGAAACAGAGGAGGCTAGCCCCGTGGTACAGCTCGCAGCTCCACTCCCTAAAGCAGGCATCAC